AGGAGCTGGAACTAGAGATGGGAGCTCACTCCATCATGCGGCACCCGGGTCTCAAACTGCTGAACTACTGACCTTCCACAGCCTGCAGTTCAGCGTCTTAACCACTTGAGCCACCGCAGCTCCTAACATCAGGAATAGACAGCTTTAAAAGGGGATTGGATAGACTACTAGCCATGGTGATAGAGGGGAACCTCCACATTCAGAAGCACCAATCTTCCGAATCCCAGAGCCGGGAGGCAACATCAGGGGAAGGCCTCGGTCTCTCTGTCCTGTAGCTGGCCCTTCAGAGGAACTGGTTGGCCCCTGTGTGAGACAGGATGCTGGACTAGAGGGACCACTGGTGTGATCCGGCAGGGCTCTTCTTATGAGGGCTTCCCCTGAAGTTGCCTCCTGGCTCTGGGATTCAGAGGCATAGTGCCTCTGGACATGGAGGTTCCCCTCTGTCACCATGGTTAGTAGCCACTGATAGTTCTTATCCTCCATGAATCTACCTAATCCCCTTCTAAAGCTGTTTATTCCTGTGGCCGTCACGACAGCCTCTGGCAGCAAGGAGTGAGTAGGAAACGGGGATAAAAATTCAGGTGAACTGACTGGTGAAGGAAATTGTTTTGCTGGTGCCGGGAACGAGCCGCGTAGGCGCCAGAGGAGCGCCAAGGGGTTGTTCTTGGGGCAGGGGTGGAATTTAATATAGAATTTATATTTACATCTTGGAAGTGCAGGGCTAGGAGGACACTCCCGAAGTAGCCACTTGCTGGTGACGGGAGAGGGAAGCTGGTTCTGCAGGGCTGGCGTGCTCGGCTTGGAGGCGTGTTCAGCCTCTGCCGTTCTCCCCAGACTGGCTAGTTATTTCTTGGGTGTCTGTCTGACCAGCCCTTCCTCAGGAAGTGGGTGAACAATCCTCTTTCCTCGTTCTGTCCTCACCACAACCCTCCGAGGTAGGCAAGGCTAACAGAAGGCAACAGGGCCAAGGACACCCAGCAAAATGTCACGAGAGAGGGAGGATTTGAACCCAGGGCTAGTGTGGCATTAGAGGCACTTTGCTGCACTGGCTTCCTGTACTGAGGAACGCATGGCGCGCAAGATTTGGGTCCCGCAGAGGCTGTCTGGCGAAGGACTCATAAAAGTTTACACCCTGGAAATCTTGTGGGCCCTTTAAGACGGTACTGGATTTTGTGAGGGGTTCCTTGTCTGGTGTGAAGATGCCGGATCATCTGTGACTCCTGGCGTTTGCAGAGAGGTGCATCTAAAGCACCACATTAACTGGCACAACAAACGTCGGCTTGCGGACGGATTTGGCATCGAAGCCCAGACTGAGTATGAGAAAAGTGGTGCTTTCGAACCCCTTGGAGCAGATTTGAGGATCCATTTTTCCTGTTCTTCCATGGCCAGCCAAGCAGACCCCCCCCCCCTTGCTTTCCATGGAAGCACAGATGGATTCTGGTATTACTTAGCTAAGCACATGAAGCTGCCTGATACTGAGTCAGACCGTTGGTCCTTCAGGGTCAGTATTGTCTACTCAGACTGGCAGCCGCTCTCCAGGGTCTCGGGTGGTTCCTTCTAACTGGTGATGGTGGGGATTGAACCTGGGACCTTCTACATGCCAAGCAGAGGTTCTTCCACTGAGCCGCAGCCTGTCAGCTTGCTGGAGGAGGGAAGGGTAGATTCTGGGCATCTCCATGTGGTTGTTTAAAACACACACATGCCCCCTTCCACAATAAGATAGTGGAAACTTGGGAATCCCACACAACAAATTTGCTTCTCTCTTGAAGAAGAAGAAGAGAAGAGATTGGATTTATACCCTGCCCTTCACTACCTGAAGGAGTCTCAGAGCGGCTTACAAACTCCTATCCATCCCCATCCTCACAACAGACACCCTGGGAGGTAGGCGGGGCTGAGAGAGCTCTCTCCAGAACTGCCCTTGAGAGAACAGCTCTGAAAGAACTTGTGAGTGACCCAAGGTCACACCAGCAGCTGCATGTGGAGGAGTGGGGAACCAAACCCGGTTCTCCGAGATTAGAGTCCGCGCTCCTAACCACGACACCAAACTGGCTCTGAGAAGTCTGCTTTGGAACGGCCAGCAGAGAACAAGCAGAGGGTCCAAAGAAAGAATACTGGACTTGATCCATTCCGCTACCGATGGCACTTTTCCCCGGGAAGGTTATCCCGGCTTGTAAATGTGGTCGGCAGTCCCGCTCTCTCTTCCTGACCTACCTCATAGGGTTGAGGTGAGGATAAAACGAATGAGAGGAGAATGAAATAAGCCGCTGTCTTGCCACTGGGCCTTGCTCCCCAATTTATCGGGGGATCTCTTTTAACGTGCCGCTTGCAGAGCATTTCTCTTGTTTGATTGATCCCCACATTAGAAGGGTGTTCACACTGGCCCGTTTTAACGTGCTTCCCTCAGCTATGCTATATGGGAGATTTTTTTAAAAAAACACCTTTCTCTGATAGGCTATGCCCATGTGGGCTAAAGGAGATTGAAGGAATGGACCGTGTACTTCTGTCTTGTAGACTTTACCAGGATTTACGTGCCTATCACCTCGGTCCTGTACTGCGATCCCTGGAGGGCAAATCTGAGGAAAGTAAGACTGTGAACCTTCTAGCCTCAAACAGGGTTGATCTCATCAAAGCGGTGGCAAACCTCCTGTATTGTGCATTTAGGAGGAGAAGCCTTTTCTGTCAGAATGAGTCCTTCATTAACTGTTTGGGGTCTCCCCCCCTTCCTGTATCCCTGAACCGAGGCCACTGCTGTTATGCCAATAAAGGTTTGTTGTGTGTTGAAAGATAAGGCGCTTTGGGTCTCCGTTGGGGGGGAAAGGCGGGCTAAGGCGGGCTACAAAGAATTAGGTAAATAAATTCCGCTCCTAAGTGGGCTGCTCCTCCATCTCGGGAGGCCCCACGCTGCTGCGAGGACATACTTTCCGTTGAGATAATGTAGTCCCATCTCTCGGCCGAGAACAGTCCCTCTCTTGAACGCATGACCTTTTGATAATGAGTAAGTTTCCCAATTAAACATTTATTTCTTGATGGACTTTGGGTATTTCAGCAATCGCCTGCTCTGTTTTCATGTAGCGGAGACACTCAGTCCTTGAGCATTAAATGGTCAGTCTCGGGCCGGTGTGGAGCCGCAGTGATGTGGGGGTTGGGTTACCTGAGAACCAATGCTCCCTCTAAGCCGTGGAGTCTTGTGAGCAAAAATTCTACTTTGTGAGCTACTGGCATTAAAGTTGTGAACAAGCGTTTGGCTACATAAGAGAACATAAGAGAAGCCAATATTGGATCAGGCCAATGGACCATCTAGTCCAACATTCTGTCACACAGTGGCCAGAAATACCAGGTGCCATCAGGAGGTCCAGCAGTGGGGCCAGGACACTAGAAGCCTTCCCACTGTTGCCCCCCCAAGCACCAAGAATACAGAGCATCACTTGCCCCAGCCTGAGAGTTCCTATCTATACCTTTCGGCTAATAGCCACTGATGGACCTCTGCTCCATATGGTTATCCAATTCCCTCTTGAAGCTGTCCATGCTTATAAGAACATAAATTAGTTTGCTCTGGAGCCATCCTTCCTGAGCTAAGACAAAAATGTGTGAGCCGGAGGCTAAAAAACTGTGAGCTAGCTCACACTAAACTCAGCTTAGAGGGGATACAGCTGAGAACGCCCTTATTTTTTAAACTTGGAAGCTGGCTTTCTTTCTAATGCAAGTGCAAACAATGGAGACTGCTGTTTGTGAAGCGTCAGGGGGAAAGGGCTTCTGTTAATGTTTAATGTAGGCTTTTATTAAGTAATTGGCTCCTTGTCCTTCCATTCAAGATTCTCTGCCAGGCGTCTCTTGCCCTGCCGAGCAGGCATGGTTCAAAGGGCAGCCGTGGGTATCCTGTGGTGGTGGTGGTGGTGGGAGCTCCCATTTATTTCTGGTTGGAAGGAGGCACATTTGGGAATACAGGGCGGAAGGGTGGAAAACCATCCCCAGCTTTCTCCATGTTATACAAAGCACTGTAATGTCAATACTCGACTTCAAAGCAAGTGAGCTGGATTCGAATCCAGTAGCACCTAAGGGTCCAACAAGATTTCTCAGCTTGTGCGAGTCAAACTTCCCTTCGTCAGGGAACGGTGCGCCCATATAAACCGAGCTTGTTATTCCAGTTTGGTCCCTGCATCTGTCAAACATCTTCATTATGCTGTATGCTGATTTGCTGCTTACCTTCTTCCTATACGTATGGACTAGCAAGTTCCGTTTCAGTGTATCAGAAGAAGTGGGCCTGCACACGAAAGATCATACCTTGAATAAAACTCTGTTGGTCTTAAAGGAACCACTGGACTCAGACTTCTTTCTGCTGCTTCAAACCAACACGGCTATGCACCCAAATTTAACTGGTGAATGAAATGCAAGATTGGGATATTGTAATGGGGGTCGGAGGCAGTGTTCCCTCTGATTTAGTGTGAGGTAGCCCACAGTTTTTTAGCCTCCGGCTCACACATTTTTGTCTTAGCTCAGGAAGGAGGGCTCCAGAGAGCAAACTAATTTATGCAGTAGCCAAATCGCTTGCTCACGACTTTAATGCCAGTAGCTCTCAAAGTAGAATTTTTGCTGGCAAGACTCTACAGCTTAGAGGGGGCATTGGTCGGAGGTGCTGCGGGATGAATAGGGAAAGTTACTTATAGGTTGCACATGAAGACCTCAGTTTTCCTGTGTTGGCCAGCCGGATGCTCCCAGAAGTCCTACCAGCAGGACAGGGAGGTCAGAAGCAGACTTAATAAATAATAATGCAGGCAGGGCAGGGAGGCAGAGTCTGCCGCTGAATTCCAGCTGGGAATGTGGAGGTTCCATTTAGTCAGCCGTTGCTGAGCCTGTACCCGAACCCAGCTCCGCGTCGAGGCTGTTCGTTTAGAGCGCCATTTATAATCGAAGACCCGTGCCCATTTCACATGCATACCGCCGCAGGGTAATCTTCTGGGTCTTTGACGCTTCAATCCACGTGCTTCCTTTTGTTCCGGTAGGAAACGCACAAAATCTACAGACAGAAGCTAGAAGAGCTGAACAGCTTGCAGTCGGCCTGCAGCAGTGCTATACAGAAGCAGAAGAGGGGCTTACGGGACTTGCAGTGCAGTTTTCAAAGGTACGTGGGGGGGGGGCGCGGCAGCTTGCTCCGTGGGGTTTTGTTTATTTTCCTTAAGGCACTTCTGTGCTGCTTTCCCACCCAAATAAGGCCCTCAAGGCGGCCAACGATCAAATATTAAAAAACAATAGACCAGCTGGGTCCTGTGTCTTATCGGGGATGGTCCAGCGCACCCCCCTTCCTGATCCAAAAGGTCTCCGTTCTGTCATAAAAAGAGCCAAAGAAGGTCAAAAATCTTCAGAATTCTGCCCGGAAGGCAGGATTCTCCACAGCTGCCAGTCAGAAAAATACAGCCTGTGACGGGCCAGGTGTCTGACTTGCTATTAAGGCCGCTGTCTAATTCTCTGCACTCCAAACCGCAGGACGGAGAGCAGAAGTGTCGTGGGACCTTAAGTCCGAAGGTGTCGTCTGGAGAGCTCCGGGACTTTGTTGCACGGGGACCAGACTGTTTATTGTGCCCAGTGCATGTTAAAGGCTCAGACTGGAGGCTGTGAATTTGTTCTGCTAGCAGCGGTACTTTTTGGGCAGTGGAGGCAGGCTCCTCACACTGGGGAAAATGCTGCTGTTAGCTGAAGAGGTCCATGGGATCCAGTGCTTTGCCTGTCGATTCGTAGTCATTCTGAATTTGAGGAATCAGGGTGGTTGAACCAGGGACTGGTTTCTTTCTCCTCCCCTTCAATGCCACTATTAGTGTGTATAATTAAGCAGAAGAGATTGGATTTATACCCCGCCCTTCAGTCAGAGTGTCAGAGTGGCTTACAGTCTTCTTTCCCTTCCCCTCCCCGCAACAGACATCCTGGGAGGTAGGTGGGGCTGAGAGAGCTCTGACAGAAACTGCTCTTTTTCTAGAACAGCTGTGCCAGAACTATGGTTTGCCCAAGGTCATCCAGCTGCGAGTGGAGGAGTGGGGAATCAAACCCGGTTCTCCCAGATTAGAGTCCGTGCACTTAAACACACCAAACTGGTGTATCCTTCCTAAAATTGCTCAACGTCCATCACTGCATCAGTGAGTTCCATAAGCCAGTTATGTGGCTGAGGCTGTGGCTCACTGACAGAGCCTCTGCTTTGCATGCAGAAGGTCTCAGGTTCAATCCCCGGCATCTCCAGTTACACGGTCGATAGTAGGTGGTGTGAAAAACTTCTACCCAAGTCCTTGGAGAGCTGCTACCAGTCAGCGGGTCTGACCTTGATGGACCAAGGGTGTAAATATAAATATAAGGCAGCTTCCCAAGCTCATATATTGTGCGAGGAAGGGGTTTTTTTTTGTTCGTTCTATGTTGGCCGTCAGCCAGTTCCTTTGGTGACCCTGGGTTAAAATGCATCGCCTCCGCACAGAAATCCTGCCGAGCACGAGAGGATGAAGTTCAGGGTTTTCTGCCTTAGCTGAATGCAGTGCTAGAATTTGCTTTCAATACACGTCCGCCTCCCTCCCAACTTCACAGATGTAAACGCAACTGTAGCCAGGAAGAATCGGAACTCGTTGAGCAAATCAACAGCCAGATCAAAGAGCGGCACAATGTCTTCTTCGACATGGAAGCTTACCTGCCAAAGAAAAACGGGTACGTGTTTCCTTTAACGAGCCACCCCTGGGCGTAGACAGGGTCTGTAAGTCGTCGTTCACCGTGTCTGTTACCCAGAGGGAACCCCCTTGAGATAAATGCCTTTTTACTCTTGTTATTGGAACCTGCTGCTTGCGCTTCCCTGGGGACTGTTGTTCTCTTAGCTGAGAGCAAATGTTTGCCAGAAGCCCGCATTGTCCAGAAGGGGCACATAGGCTGGCAGTGTCTCTCGGGCACATAGTTTCCCACTTTAGTCATGGTGCGGTGATGCCACCGGGGAGCGATCTGGGGAAGTTATTCTTAGAAGCCCCAAGGGAAGAGGAGGTGGGGGAGACGCCTCAAGGGCTCATATTCAAGCACATTCTTGATAGAAGATGGTTTTGATTGCTCTGGTGGTGGTAAAGCTGCATGCATAGAATCATAGAGTCGGAAGGCACCTCCAGGGGCCATCTAGTCCAACCCCCTGCACAAGGCAGGAAATTCACCAATACCTCCCCCCCCACACACTCACACACCCAGTAACCCTTGCTTCATGCCCAGAAGATGGCCAAAAACACCTTCCAGGATCCCCGGCCAAACTGGCCTGGAGAACAATTCCTTCCTGACCCCAAAGTGGTGATCGGCATTTCCCTGGGCGTGTAAGAAAAGGCCACAAGAACTAAGCACTGAGGCAACCCTTCCTGCCCTCCCTCTCCTGATGTGCCTAAGTTCACAGAACCAGCAGGTGGCTGTCTAGCCTAGGTCCTGCCTAGAAGGCCCAGATCCTGCGTGTCTCTCCTTGAGAGGATGAAAAGTTGCTGCTTAGTCTGAGCAGGTCTCAGTGGACATGATGCCGATGGGTTTCCACAGAGATGCAGTGGCTTGAGGAGACGGTCTCCAGCCCAGCTCTTGGACATTTAAAAAAATTATTTATTTTTATTTATTTAACTCGTTTATACCCCGCCTTTCTCCCCAGTGAGCACCCAAAGCGGCTTACATCATTATCCTCTTCTCCGTTTTATCCTCACAACAACCCTGTGAGGTAGGTTAGGCTGAGAGAGAGTGACTGGCCTAAGGTCACCCAGCAAGCCTTCCGTGGCATGAGTGGGGATTCGAACCTGGGGCCTTCCAGATAATAGTTAGGCATTCCTATCCACTTAATCCAAGATGTGAGTCCTCGGGTAGTAATGCGCTCAGTAGGCTTCCACGCGCCTTTGGCTTAGGAGCTGTTGGGGGGGGGGGCACTACACCTTGCAGGAAAAGTTATTCTCACTACATGCATGTGTGTGGCGCACACCTACAAATGGCGTTCCTAGGTGTATGTGCATTAAGAAGAAGAGATTGGATTTACACCCCGCCCTTCACTACCCAAGGGAGTCTCAGAGCGGCTTACAAACTCCTTTCCCTTCCCCTCCCCACAACAGACACCCTGTGAGGCAGGTGGGGCTGAGAGAGCTCTGACAGAAACTGCTCTTTTTCAAGAACAGCTCTTGAAGAGCTATGGCTTGCCCTAGGTCATCCAGCCAGATGCAAGTGGAGGAGTGGGGAATCAAACCCGGTTCTCCCAGATTAGAGTCCGCGCACTTAACCACTACACCAAACTGGCTTTCTTGTATCTGGCCTGACAGCTCCTAAGTGGGATATGTGGGAGAAATTTAAGAGTCTGAGAAAGTGGGCCCAAGCTGGAAGTTAAATCTGTTCCTAGGGATGCCAGCCTGCAGGTGGGACTCGGGGATCCCCTGGAATTGCAGCTTATCTCTGGCCTACAGAGATCAGTTTCCCCTGGAGAAAATGGCTGCTTTGGAAGGTGGACTCTCTGGCATTGTACCCCACTCAGGTCCCTGTCCTCCCCAGGCTCAGCCCCCAAATCTCCAGGAGTTTCCCAACCTGGATCTGGCAATCCTACCTCTCCCCTATTCCCCACTGGTGGCCATGGGAGACCCGGCACCCTGTCTCTTGCTGATGGGGGGAGTCTATAGCTGGGTTAAATTAGGGAAGAATTTACGAGTTGGTTGGATGGGTGGATGAAATTACCATTTCACATACCCTTGGATGCAGTTATACACAGGGGTCATTTCCTGCGGGAGTGCACAGGAGCGGAGCTCCGGCAGTATGGAGCTCAGGGGGCGGGCACATGGAACAAGCCCCGCCCCCTGCTCCCAGCAGCCCTCAGTCGGGCCATGAGGAGCAAGAAGCAACCAGGTAAGTTGTAGAGGGCCCCCCCCCCGGCCTGCCTTCAGGTACAAGCTCTCCCTCCTCTGTGAGGACAGATCTGCACATTCCCTCCCCCCAATAGCTAGCAATCCAAAACAGTCCAGTGGAGCCTGAGCAGTGGGTGTTGCCTTCTGACACACTTCTGGTGATGTCAGAGGGTGTGGCATATGCAAATGAGTTATGCTAATGAGTTATGCTAATGAGCTCCTGCACCTCTTTTTCTACGAAATGACCCCTGGTTATACATATTCTTGGGGGTGTGTGCATGAGATTACGTATTTTTCGGACCATAAGACGCACCTGACCTTAAGACGCACCTAGTTTTTAAAGGAGGAAAACAGGGGAAAAAATATTCTGAACCTTCGGTCCATAAGACGCACTCACTTTTCCTCCCACTTTTTTTGGAAGAAAAAGTGAGTCTTATGGTCCAAAAAATACGGTATATTTCTCATGATGGAAAAGGTGGCAAAGAGAGAAAATGAAGGGGTTAGATCTCTTGGCACCAGAAAAAGTACACCCCAATAGTTTTTGAGAAATGGGGGGAAGGGTTGGACCTCACTGACACCCACAAAATTCAAGAAAGCGTTGCTGAATCTCAGATGTGCTTGTCTTTAAGCAGGAACAAAAGACAGCACGCTTCTGGGAAAAGGTCCGTCCTCTGAATTAAATATAAGTACTATTTCTGTGTTAAAGTGAACAAACAGTATGTCCTCTCACCTAATCTAATTGCAGGAGTGCTTCTAGTAAACCGAGCAGCAAGATAACAAGATTCAAAGTTGTTTGAAAAAAAATATCCTGCAAAAATCTTGGCCTAGTGGTTTCTAATCACTGATAAGCAATATTAATTAAAACTGCAACTAGAAGTGTTAAAACCACACGTTACTTATTACAAGTTTTAGAAAGTGCCTGAGAGAGAGAGCGCGCAGAGAGGCAGGTGCCGAAAACAAGATGTGTTGGGCAACTACCTACTTTGCCTCCAACAGGCAAGCAAAACCGGGCCTTGTCAGATAAATTATTGTAATTCACAGGCAGGCCGAAATAGGATCATAAAGTCTTTCAAGGATCTTTTGTCAGGCTGAGATATATACTCATGAGTCTGTATGTCAGCAAGTTCCTTTGTGCCAACCTGTCAACAAAACATTAGAAAGAATTTCCCCCGAACAGTTTGTTTTGCCATCAAAACAATTCTCTGCTCCTTGTGAGAAATTTCTTTGTCCTGCCACAGAGTCGAGGCAGCCTCCTCTGCAGTTGCGTAACTGTTGTGTTTCCAAATGTGTTGAGTGGAAGTCTAAGCCGCCGCTGTGTGAGTCTGACCATGTGCTGCTGTTTCTCCTTACAGTTTGTACTTGAATCTGGTCTTGGGAAATGTGAATGTAACGTTGCTAAGTAATCAGGCCAAGTAAGTGATTTCTCTTCTCTGGTTCGACTCAAGTTATCTGCGGGGAGGAAGTGGGGCTGCCCAGTAGGTGGTTGACGCAAGGGGCACAAAAACGCTCAGGGGCTCGGGTTACGGGGTGATTGGGAGGGGCGGCATCCCTGTTCTGGTTGAGCGTCTGTGTATCCTTCTGACTGTGAGTTGGGCTCCTGAGGGAACCTTTGTCCAGGCATCAGTGGAGGCACTTTGCAACTCTGGAAGAGGAGAGGAGGTTAGGGCTGCCAAGTCCCCCTGGGGGGCGGGGAACCCCCGCCCCAGAGGCACGTTCCCCGCCACCGGCGGATCGGGCCCCGGGGGGAACCCCACCCTGGCGTGCGCGTCACCAGGAAGTGACGTTAAGACGCTGGGCACGCTGGGGGCAGGCCCACGACCATCCGAGGGGGAAACTCTATGCGCGCGCATAGGATGCCGGACGGGAGTCCCCCGCTCCCGACGATTTTCGACTTGGCAACCCTAGAGGAGGTGGCGGCACTGGGGTGTTGGTTGAGTCATCTCCACAAGCTAGGCTTGGTGTTTATCCTGACCTCATCTGTGTGTTCCAGGTTCGCCTACAAAGATGAATATGAAAAATTCAAACTGTACTTGACAATAATTTTACTCCTCGGAGCAGTGGCTTGCCGATTTGTTCTGCATTACCGGTAAGGCTGCAGCTTTATTTGCTGAGAAATGGTTTTAAGCAGGGGTCCCCAACATGTTGCCCAGGGCGGTACGCCAACACTTTTCCTGGCACCTGCCGAACTGTTTTAAGGAAAAGGGCAGGGCCAGGTGAGGGTTTTGCCCAGCAGGGCTTCTCACCGGCCCCTGGAGATCTCATTGGTTGTGCAGGTTTTATAAAAGTCACTTTGGCAGCAGCTCCCAACACAGGACAAGGATCCTCCCTGCAGGACTGAAGGTATATGCAAGAAAATCCTTCTTAAATAATGGGTTCATTTATGTCGTTAAGCAGAGCTTCCGCCTGAAAGGTTGAAGAGTGACTCCTTTTGCACCAAGGAACCATCCCTGGGCAGGGTGGGAGGGGGGCTCTTGGTAGTGGGTGATTCGATCCTTAGGCAGGTAGACAGCTGGGTGGCGAACCCGCGTACTGACCGTATGGTGACTTGCCTGCCTGGTGCAAAGGTAGCGGACATTACGCGTGTTTTAGATAGGCTGGTAGATAGTGCTGGGGAGGAGCCAGTGGTCGTGGTGCATGTCGGCACCAACGATGTGGGGAAATGCAGTCGTGAGGTCCTGGAGGAGAAATTTAGGCTGCTGGGCAGGAAACTCAAGGCCAGGACCTCCAAGGTAGCCTTCTCAGAAGTGCTACCTGTTCCACGCGCAGGGCCGGAGAGACAGGCACAGATCAGGAGTCTCAATGCGTGGATGAGACGATGGTGTAGAGGGGAAGGGTTCAGGTTTGTTAGGCACTGGGATTCTTTTTGGAACAAGAGGGAGCTGTACAGGCGAGACGGTCTCCACTTGTCCCGAGAAGGAACCAGGCTGCTGGCGCTTAAAATCAAAAAGGTGGCAGAGCAGTTTTTAAACTGAATATTGGGGGAAAGCCGACAGGAGATGAAAAGTCTCTGGTTCGGGTTGGCTCATCTCAGAGAGATGAGGGGGTACCTGTTGCTTTTCTACAGGGAGGTGGATTGAAATTGTCCACTGAGACCATGGCTAGTGACATGGACTGCCTGACAAGGTCTCGAGATTGCAAGAGGAAGGTGGCAGGCTTAACCAGTATGGGAAATTACAGCTGTTTCTATACAAATGCTCGAAGTGTCCGAGGTAAAATCGGGGAGTTGGAGTGCTTGGTGTCAGAGGGAAAAATAGACATTGTGGGTATTTCAGAAACTTGGTGGGATGAGGAAAATCAGTGGGATACGGTGATTCCCGGTTATATATTATATCGGAAGGATAGGGGGGGAAGGGTTGGAGGTGGGGTGGCTCTGTATGTCAGAGAGGGTATAAAGTCCAGAAAGATCGAGAGGCTAAGAGAATTGGATTCGCTTCTTGAAGTTCTGTGGGTTGAAATAGGGGGGCCAAAAGGAAACTTAACACTGGGAGTTTGTTATCGCCCACCGGATCAAAAGATAGAGGAGGATTATAAAATGATGAATGAATTAAAGATAGCAGCTAGACAAAAACACTGTGTCGTAATAGGTGATTTTAACTACCCACACATTGATTGGGTCAATATGTGTTCTAGTCGAGAGAAAGAGATTGAGTTTCTAGACACTCTAAATGACTGTGCTATGGAGCAGATGGTCATGGAACCTACCAGGGGAGAGGCGATCCTTGATTTGGTCCTAAGTAACACTCAAGACCTGGTGAGAGATGTAAAAGTGATTGCACCGCTTGGGAACAGTGATCATAATGTTGTTGAGTTCAACATTTGTACAAATAGGGAATTGGCCAAAAAGACTCACACAACCACTTTTAACTTTAAAAGGGGTAATTTTTCTGATATGAGGGGACATGTGGGGAGGAAACTGAAGGGAAAAGTAGAAAGGGTCAAAACCATTGGGGAAGCTTGGAAACTGTTTAAAACTACAATTCTAGAAGCTCAAATAAAATATATTCCGCAGGTTAGGAAAGGCACAAACAGGTATAAGAAAAAGCCTACATGGTTAACAAACAAAGTAATGGAAGCTGTAAAAGGTAAAAAGGATTCCTTTAAGCGGTGGAAAGCTAGTCACAGTGAGGCTGATAAAACAGAACACAGGCTATGGCAAATAAAATGCAAGTCTGTGGTCAGGCATGCAAAAAGGGAATATGAGGAGCATATAGCAAAAAATGTAAAGACCAACAATAAAACTTTCTTCAAATACATTAGAAACAGGAAACCAGCCAGGGAGGCAGTGGGGCCCTTGGATGACCAAGGGGTAAAAGGAGTACTGAAGGATGATAGGGAAATGGCTGAGAAGCTAAATGCATTTTTTGCCTCCGTCTTCACTGTGGAAGATGAGAGGTGCTTGCCCACTCCAGAGCCGCTGAGTTCGGGAGGGGTGTTGAAAGACCTGAGTCAGATTGAGGTGACGAGAGAGGAGGTCCTAAAACTGATAAACAACTTAAAAACTGATAAATCACCAGGCCCAGATGGCATACATCCAAGAGTTCTGAAAGAACTCAATTGTGAACTTGTGGATCTCCTGACAAAAATATGTAATCTCTCCTTAAAATCAGCCTCCATTCCTGAGGACTGGAAGGTAGCTAATGTCACTCCCATCTTTAAAAAGGGTTCCAGAGGAGATCCGGGAAATTACAGGCCAGTCAGTCTGACGTCGATACCGGGTAAATTGGTGGAAACCATTATTAAGGAAAGAATTAGTAGGCACATAGATGAACAAAACCTATTGAGGCAGACTCAACATGGGTTCTGTAAGGGAAGATCTTGTCTCACTAACCTGTTAATGTTCTTTGAGGGGGTGAACAAACATGTGGACAAGGGGGATCCAATAGATATTGTTTACCTTGACTTCCAGAAAGCTTTTGATAAAGTTCCTCATCAAAGGCTCCTAAGCAAGCTCAAAAATCATGGGATAAAAGGACAAGTCCTTTTATGGATCAAAAACTGGCTAATTAATAGAAAACAGAGAGTGAGTATAAATGGGCAGTTCTCCCAGTGGAGGGGTGTAAGCAGTGGGGTACCACAGGGATCAGTACTTGGTCCACTGCTTTTTAACTTGTTCATTAATGATTTGGAGTTGGGAGTAAGCAGTGAAGTGGCTAAATTTGCGGATGATACGAAGTTGTTCAGGGTGGTGAAAACCAGTGAGGATTGTGAGGCACTCCAAAGGGATCTGTCAAAGTTGGGCGAGTGGGCGTCAACATGGCAAATGGGGTTCAATGTGGCCAAGTGCAAGGTGATGCACATTGGAGCCAAAAATCCTAACTATAAATACACGTTGATGGGGTCTGAACTGGCAGAGACAGATCAAGAGAGAGATCTTGGAGTTGTAGTAGATAACTCACTGAAAATGTCGAGACAGTGTGTGACTGCAATAAAGAAGGCCAATGCTATGCTGGGGATTATTAGGAAGGGTATTGTAAACAGATCAGCCAATATCATAATGCCGCTATATAAATCAATGGTGCGACCTCATCTGGAATACTGTGTGCAATTCTGGTCACCACACCTTAAAAAGGATATTATAGCTTTGGAAAAAGTGCAGAAAAGAGCAACTCGAATGATAAAAGGGTTGGAACACTTTCCCTATGAGGAACGGTTAAGGCGCTTAGGGCTCTTTAGCTTGGAGAAACGACGACTGAGGGGTGACATGATTGAGGTTTATAAGATTATGCATGGGAAAGAGCAGGTAGAGAAAGAGGTACTTTTCTCCCTTTCTCACAATACAAGAACCCGTGGGCACTCCATGAAATTGCTGAGCGGTCGGGTTAGAACGGATAAAAGGAAGTACTTCTTCACCCAAAGAGTGATTAACACTTGGAATTCACTGCCACAGGAAGTGGTGGCAGCTACAAGCATGGACGGCTTCAAAAGGGAATTAGATAAGCATATGGAGCAGAGGTCCATCAGTGGCTATTAGCCACAAGGTATAGATAGGGACTCTGGGGCAAGTGATGCTCTGTCATCTTGGTGCTTGGGGGGGGTCAACAGTGGGAGGGCTTCTAATGTCCTGGCCCCACTGGTGGACCTCCTGATGGCACTGGTATTTCTGGCCACTGTGGGATACAGAGTGTTGGACTGGATGGGCCTTTGGCCTGATCCAACATTGGCATCTCTTATGTTCTTATGTTCTTATGTTCTTATGACTATTAGAGTTATGCATGACCTCAATCCATGACCATTTTGTGGTTGGCCAGTTTGGTGTAGCGGTTAAGTGCGCGGACTCTAATCTGGGCGAACCAGGTTTGATTCCCCACTCCTCCACATGCAGCTGCTGGTGTGACCTTGCGTCAGTCACAAGTTCTCTCAGAGCTGTTCTCTCAGGAGCAGTCTTTGAAGGAGCTCTCTCAGCCCCACTGACGTCACCTCACAGGGTGTCTGTTGTGGGGAAGGGAAGGGAAAGGAGATTGTAAGCCGCTCTGAGACTCCTTTGGGTAGTGAAGGGCGGGGTATACATCCAATCTCTTTTCTTCTTCTTCTTCTTGTTGCAGTCATTTGGTGGCTGTGCCCACCACCCTGTGTCAGAATTCCAAAAGTACCCGTGGGCTTTAGAAGGTTAGGAAAACCCCCCCCCCCAATTTTAAGCTTCATGCTACAGTATGGAACTCTTGGTCTGGGGCAAGGGATGCTCTGTGTTCTTGGTGCTTGGGGGGGGGCAACAGTGGGAGAGCTTATAGTGACCTGACCCCAACTGCTGGACCTCCTGATGGCACTTGGTATTTTTGGCCACTGTGTGACAGAGTGTTGGACTGGATGGGCCATTGGCCTGATCCAACATCGGCTTCTCTTATATTCTTATGTTGCTGCTGACTTAAGAATCATATCTCAGTGGGTAAAAAGATTCTGAGTTCTGCTGATGACAGTTCAAAGCCCAGTTTATCGAGCAAGGCTTGGTTAAAGAGAATATAGTCTCACGCATTCTGCTTTCAAGGAAGCTCTGTCTGCATCTGTCTGCTGCGGAACCATGGCAGGCTGCTTAAGTTGCATAAGGGTGCGTGTTCCAGGGTGCGTTCAGGAGCCAGCCGAGAATCTGTTGCACTTTGCAGGAGGTGCTCAGCATAGCTGGGGACGTGTCCTTAAGAGTGATTCACTATTATACATCTTCTCTCAATGAGCAGCCCCTGTTAAACTTCCAAAGATTCCCTGAACGCTGTTTGGAAACTGCTGTGTTGTGCAGTCTTCAATATGCAGCAGCGTGTACTGAAGGGCTTCCCCAGGTCTTTGACGTGCACCACCCGTCGGTCAGTATTGCTTTTCCAGTTGATTGGATTTATCTAGGTCTAATGGGATCCCCTCACTGAATTAGCCCTGTAGTGCATTTGTAAATTGGATCATGTGCTGCTAGTCTGGCATGCACATGCACGTCTTCAGAAGGAATTAGCATCACACGGACAACCTGGGGACATTCTGCCACATAGTCTATAAAGAGTACCTTAGCGGGACCAGTCTGCCTTCTCTTTCCAAATTTTGGGTACTTCATGGGGCTGTTCAAGAACCCCAAGCCCTGTGAGATGCTGGTTCCTGAGGTTCTGCAGCAAGCCCTCTGCATCGGGTCCCTAACAGAGCCACCCTAAGCAGAGTTGTTCTCTTCCAAGTCCACTGAAGTCAACAGGCTTAAAAAGATGTAACACAGCTTAGGAAGGCACTGAAAATGTGCCTCATGGTCAATGCTCCCTCAAAGCTGTGGAGTCTTGTGAGCAAAAATCCTACTTTGTGAGCTACTGGCATTAAAGTTGTGAGCGAGCGGTTTGGCTGCTGCAGAAATTAGTTTGCTCTGGAGCCATCCTTTCTGAGCTGAGACAAAAGTGTGTGCACCGGAGGCTAAAAAACTGTGAGCTAGCTCACACTGACTCAGCTTAGAGGGAACACTGCTCAGGAGGGACTCTGGGCATAGTGCCTGCCGGATCCTCTTCAAAAGCAGTTTTGCATAGGCCCTGGGCTTCTGGAACATTCCTTGGCGGGAATGGGCGGGATACAAATTGAATAATATAAACAAAACAGCACCTTCAGGTCCCAGTGTAACTGCTGCTCTTTTAATGGGGTTGACTGTAATAACGTTGCACCGCCTTGAAATGTTTGCTTACTTTTATTTATTTAAAATATCTTTGCTCATCTTGAGGGTTACAACATTAAAAATAAAGTATCCCAAACAAAAACCTTAACAAGGGATCAGACCATTAAAATAAAAAAGGTGAAATTTACACAATTATATTTTCCTCGTGCTCATCGCTTCCTGTACTGCCAAAGGGAAATACTTGATGGAATGTAAATCTTGTTTCCTTTGCGGGTGGTGTCAGTGTCATACTCAATGAAACCCCAGAGGACTATTATTTTTTTAAGATGGGTAGCCGTGTTAGTCTTTAAGGTGCTACTGGACTCTTGCTCTTTTCTTCTGCTACAGACAGACTAACAAAAGTTGTGGCAGGGTAGGAGCTTTTGTGAGTAACTGCTCACTTCTTCAGATGCAGTTAGAATGTGAGATCTTATATCTTGGAGAGGGGAGCGAAGTAACAATAGCAGGCATGATTGGATTAGGTGTGATATGCAGAGGGGTAGTAGGCATGGGAAAATCAGCATTGGTAATGAGACAGGAAACCTAAGTCTCAATTCAGTCCAGGAGGATGCATTGTCTTGAGCTTCATTTTCAGTTGCAATTCAGCAGTCTCTCTTTCTAATCTCCCTTTTAAATTTCTTTGTAAGAGAACTGCTACTCTTAGGTCCTGGAAGGTTAAAATGTTTCCTCAACTGGTTTTTGAATGTTGTGGTTTCTAATGTCAGACTTATGTCCGTGATTCTTTGTCATAGGGCCTGTCCTTCCATCCTCTACATTAGACGAACAGGCCAGTCCCTACGACAGAGAATAAATGGACACTAGCTTTATATTTAAATAGTTATAATCTCTGCAGAAATTCTGCTACTTTTCTTCCTTCAGGGTGACAGATGAAGTGTTCAACTTCCTCTTAGTTTGGTATTACTGCACACTGACAATAAGGGAAAGTATCCTTATCAGCAATGGATCAAGGTATGAGTCCTAGACAATTCACACAGGTACCTTATCAGGTCCTGGTAATAAACCTGGCTGTCTGAAACTAGTTACAGGCTGTGATCACACACCCTTTCAATCCACTTTTGAACTGGATTTTACTGTATGAACTGACAAAATCCAGTTGGAAAGTGCACTGAAAGTGGATTGAAAGGGCATTACTTAGTGTGTGTGATCGCAGTTATATTCTCATTGGTTTAAACCAAGTTTCTCGAGATGGGCTTCAAGGGCAATGTGAGGTTTCTTGAAGTAAATAAAAGAAGTTAAAAATGGCGTCTCGGTATATCCCCAGCATAATGAAGTATGGGGTTTGGATCTAGGAGACTCAAGTCCCTTTTTTTTTTTTTATAACATGAAGCTTATTGTGCAACACTGAGCCAGTCATTATAGGCCTGCCTCACACGGTTGTTAGTGGAAACATTTGAAGGATATACCATCACCACCAATTCTAGACAATACTCTGTATTTTAAAATCCCACGGGGATTTATAATCCTAAAGTTAAAAATATTGAAAATACAAAAGACTGCTGCATCAGTAGTTGAAAGCACTATATAAAATGCATCATAAACTGGCAGCAATAAAACCAATGAGATGGCTGTGGCAGCAGTACTAATATTCTAGGTGGAGTTCTTGTTTTGAAACTCTCATGATGACCAGTTTTACAGGTAAAGTGATATTTATTTATAGTAAGCCTGGCTGGCTTTCCTTCCTCTCTTCCAAAGGCAACACTTTCCTCCTTGTGTTGCCCTGGCTAAGGGGTTAGGGTTCTAATAAATGGGGGTGTTCCTTTTTTGCATTTTTTAAAAACTTGTGTTATATTTTAAAGGGTTGCTTCATATACTACCTTCAGAGGTATAATACAAAGCACCTTGATTCCCAACTAAAATCATAAAGTTTGAATACAATGAAAACTTGTTTGCAAACATGGGTTCGTAAATATACGTCACTTGCAAAGCACTTCTCATATATGAGTGCAGCAATCTTTGCAACACCCCTATGAGGTAGGCCATTTTGGTTATCTCCATATTGATGGGGGGGGGCTGAAAGAGTGGTTTGCTTAAGGCCACTTAGTGAGTTGGCTGCTGAGATAGGGATGCCAGCCTCCAGGTGGGACCTTGGGATCCCCTGGAATGTCAGCTTATCTCCAGATGACAAGAGATCAGTTCTCCTGGAGAAAATGGATGCTTTGGAGGGTGGACTCTGTGGCACTGGGCCCCATGGAGGTCCCCGTCCTCCCCAGGCTCCATCTCCAAATCTCCAGGAATTTCTCAACCTGGATCTGGCAACCCTACCCTTCCTCCAGCGCCCTCTGGTGGCCAGGGGAGACTTGGCAACCCTATGCTGACTCAAATGGATCCCCTTGATCACAGCCAATTTTCTCAGATTCTACACCAGGGTGGCCAAACTTGCTTAATGTAAGAGCCACATAGAATAAACACCAAATGTTTGAGAACCACAAGACAGGAACGCACACGTTTTTATTGGAAAATATGCAAATTTGCATATTAAATAAAAGAGACACATGCCTTCTCCGAGCCAAGCCAGTCTGCCGGTGCAGCGGGGCTTGGAGAACACATTTAACTTTAGATGGGGAGGGTGGAAAGAAAGCAAATAGATTGGGGGGGAAGGTGGAAAGAAAACAACTTTAAATGGATCTTCCAAGCCCCCTAGGCCCCCATGCCAGCTGGCTTGGCTTGGAGAAGGGATTTAAAGAGACAGATGCCTTCTCCAAGCCAGCTGGCGGGGGGCGGTGCGGTGCTTTGAGAACCCATTTAAAGTTAAAGCTGCTTTCTTTTTCTGCTCCCCCCTGCCTCAAACCTACCCAGGGAGGGAAACACTGGCTGGGTGCATCCCCTTCGCTTCCCCAGCCGCCCTGCTGGGAGCCACACGATATATGTGCAAGAGCCACATGTGGCTCCCGAGCCATAGTTTGGCCACCCCTGCTCTATGCTATACCAGCTGTATAAAGCGGTGGTCTTTTTAGGAAGCCCTAACTGGGTCATGACTCCTTCTCTACTGTACAATTGATGACGGGCCTGACTTTGCCTCAGCATAATGCATCATCAATGTCCTCTTCTTTTCCAGGATTAAGGGTTGGTGGGTGTCTCATCATTATGTCTCAACGTTCCTATCTGGTGTGATGCTAACATGGTAAGTCCCTCCCTTAATAGGTTAAACAGAGTCTGAATCCCACCTTGGAAACACTAGAACTTGAACACTAGAACTCATTATAGCAGGCATGTCCAACTTCGAACAGGTAGTGATCTATTTTTTCTGGCCAAAAGTGCCGGTGACTTACCACCATGACACTAAAGTTTCGAATTAGTTTCAAATTAGATTTTAACCCACCAAAGTTGGGTTCCACCTGCCCCCCCCCCCCCATTTATAATGCACCTTCTGTCATTTACTGGTAAGCAAAATAAACAAAAACAAAACAGAGAGACGAAGATCCAGAAAGAACTGCGAACATTTTTCATTTTATACCAGGAGACCAAGTGGGGCTGGTGATCTACCTCCGACCCCTCCGCGATCTACTGGTAGATCACGACCTACCTGTTGGACATACCTGCATTATAGGAAGGTGCCCTGTTCAGGGAACCTCTGCTTCTGGGAAAACTGATACTATGGAACACTCTATTGGAAGGCCCCTTTTTCTCAAATTTGAGAGAGTTGTGGATTATTCCATCCCTAGGTGGGACGGTAGGTGCATCAACGAACGAAGAATTAGGGAGATTTTTGGCTGGGTTGGATTCAGAGGTCACTTTGTATGTTGTGGGGGGGGGGAATTCATACATTAATAGCAAGTAGAAAATGACTTCAAGATGGTTTTTCTGCCTGGTTTATGCAGATTCTAATGTGGCAGCACTTAAAACCTACAGGTTACATTTAAGTAAGTAGAACCTGAGGCAGAAGATAGTTCTAAATGCATTTAGTCTCTGGGGGTGGGGGGAGAAACCTCTGAATGTGGGGGCAGCCAAAGGGTTGGATCCAGGCTAAACTGGCTGTCTCCACCCATTCCCCCTTCCCAGTGCAGCCCCTCCTCCTGTCATTCCTCAAGGGTCCTGTCCGTCAGGATCAGTGCTTCATGGAAACCAGTGGGCTGCAGTGTGTGTGTGTGTGGGGGTATGGCAGTAAAATTTAGTCAGGATCCAATCCAAAGGACTGAATTCCACTAGGGCATTTTGACGGGTCTTCTGTTCAGGAGTTAAAAGCTGGGATCCTGATCAAGGAGGGGGTCTGTTGATTCCTCACCCCCTTAATTTGCAAATTAATATTTTGTTTAATTCTCCACCATATGGAGAAACCCCAGCCTTGCCTATGGGAGGTCTACTTTCTGCGCTTCCCTAATAAACACTCACCCATGAAAACTGATGGTTACAGGGACCAAGTAACGATTCAGTTGCAGCTGCCCCCAAAGTGCCGGTTCTATTCTCTGTGACTCTTCCTTCCCAGTGTATTCTTAAAATTATCCCTCTTCTCCCCTGCGCTCCGTGTGGTTGGCTCCACCTCCTGTGGCAGCCATGTTGGAGATGTGCCCACTGCTCCTGTGAGAATTCCAAATGTGCCCACAGACTCAAGAGGGGTTGTGTAATCCCCACTTTAGAGGATGGAAAGACCATTTTCTGCATGAATCCCTGGAGAGTTGCAGCCAGTCAGATTAGACATTATTGACTCTGAGCTACAGGAACCCGTGGCCTGATGCAGTGCAAGGCATTTTCACATGGCCATAAAACCAAATATGAACATTAAAATGCAGTGCAAAACTGACACATTGGCAGGGTGGGTGTTGTGGCCTTCTGTTGGCATAGAACAAGGGTGGTCAAACTTGCTTAACATAATAGCCACACAGAATAAACGTCAGATGTTCGAGAGCCGAAAGACATGAACAGACATCACATACACGGTTTCATTGGAAAATATGCAGATTTGCTTTTCATTAACATTAAATTAGACTGTGAAAGAGCCGCATGTGGCTCCCGAGCTGCAGTTTGGCCACCCCGGGCATAGAAGCTATTTCACTATTGCCCATTCGATGGCCCCACCTATGTAAAGAAACTACTTTGCATGTTTGATTAGCTTAGTTTCCCTTTTTCACACGCTAGCTAGCTTTTTTGGCTTTTTAATATGCGGGATCTTTTGAAAGGTGACTTTCCACTCCAGCCGTCTGTGGTGGTAAAGGTGGAAGGATGCTACTTTGGCAGATTAGGAACTGAATTTGGGAAATGTCACCTTATGTTGAGAAGTACTTTTCGGAGGGGAAATGGAAATTCCTGACAACATCAGATTGCGATATAGGAGGACACTGTGTGTGCGCGTGTTTATACAAGCATCTTGTTTTGTTATTCTTCCAGGCCAGATGGTCTCATGTACCAAATGTTCCGCAACCAGTTTTTAGCATTTTCAATTTTCCAGAGTGAGTATGTTTATTAAAATCGGAAGTTTTCTCTTGATGCTAGAGGCGTGGCGGGGGGCGGGGGGGGATACTTTGTGTAATGCGAGCGGCCCTGCAGATTTGCATCAGAAGACAGGTATGTGCATTGAAACAGACAGGAGTCATTTAACTGGCAAACTTATGCAAAGGCCCACCGTTACACATTGATCCTGTCCCAGGAGAGGAGGTATATTTGATGAATTGTGGTTAAGACGCTGAACTGCAGACTGGAAGGTCGGTAGTTCAGCGGCTCGAGACCTGAGTGCCGCATGACTGAGTGAGCTCCTGTCTCTGGCCCCAGCTCCTGCCAACCTAGCAGTTTGAAAGCAAGAAATTGCAAGTAGATAAATAGGGACTGCTTCGATGGGAAGGTAACAACATTCCGTGCACCTCGGCGTCTAGTCATGCTGGCCACATGACCATGGAAATGGCTTCGGACAGCGCTGGCTCTTCAGCTTGGAAACGGAGATGAGCACCGCATCCCTAGAGTTGGATTCGACTGGCTTTCGAGCAAGGGAAACCTTTACCTTGACCTATTGGCATATCTGTGAGGCAAGCTTGGCTGAGAAAGAGCAACCAGCCCAAGCTCACCTGGCAAGCTTCCATCAGAGGAGGGGTCTGAACCTGGCTTGAGCTCCTAGCCTGACATCTGACATTCTAACTGCTACACCACAGTACATGACAGAAAACTCCAAAAGGGCTTTTAGGGCAAGTTCAAATGAAAGACAAAGAAACCTGATAGAAACTCATGAAAGAAGGACAGAATTGGGGTTCTTTCCTTTCTTTTCCTTTGACGGGGGAGATCTCTTTACTAAAGTGACATATTCTGAGAGGAGGAGAGAATTGTTTGTTCATCAGGCATACCATTTTTTTAAAATCTCAACCGGGTTAGTTTGAATAGGTCTGTTACTTCCTCCCAGGTTGTGTCCAGTTTCTACAATACTACTATCAAAGTGGCTGCCTATACAGACTTCGCGCACTGGGGGAAAGAAACCAGTTAGATCTCACAGTGGGTGAGTCTCATGGTGGGGGGAGCTGTTATATTTAAGGGCATTTATTCAGAGTCAGAATACTGGTGGGGGGCAACAGGGAGATGCCTTGGGCTCTGTGCCCTGTGATGATACTGACCTACCTTACAGGGTAGTTACAAGGACTGCATTAAGATACATGAACCTCTTTAAATGCTGGAAATGCTAAACAAGTGCTACTGTCTTCTCTGCTTGATCTCTCTTGAAAAATCCATTGCCTTTGCTTTTTCGGGGCAAAGTAGCCTGCACATCTTCCCTTTGTTCTAGCTGTCTGGTTCATTAGGTCAGGCAGAATGCAAGGGGTGAGGTGGCTTTGTTTTCTTTTAAGAAGAGATTGGATTTATACCCTGCCCTTCACTACCCAAAGGTGTCTCAGAGCAGCTTACAAACTCCTTTCCCTTCCCCTCCCCACAACAGACACCCTGTGAGATAGGTGGGCCTGAGAGAGCTCTGACAGAAACTGCTCTTTTTCAAGGACAGCTGTGCCAGAACTACGGCTTTCCCAAGGTCATCCAGCAGGTCCAAGTGGAGGAGTGGGGAATCAAACCCAATTCTCCCAGATTAGAGTCCGCCCACTTAACCACTACACCAAACCCCAAGCAGACACTTGGCAAGATACAGGGCAAAATCGATGTGATGCTGTTCTGGTGCAGACTAACTTGGCTTTCGTCATTTTGGCCTTTCCACAGAGGGATTTCAGTCTTGGATGTGGCGAGGGCTGACGTTCCTCCTTCCCTTCTTGTTCTTTGGGCATGTAAGTTGGACGTCCTCTCTTGCTCACAAATGCATTGGCAGAAGTAGCGGAGGAATCAGTGACTTCAGTCACTGTGTTCCTTGGGGTTACGTGTCTGTCCTGAATCATATCGGTTTTACCTGCACTGTGTGGGTGTGGGGTCTCAGGGTGGATGGGAGATCCATGGATGGGTTTCCTGCTTTCTAAAACCTTTAATCGTAGGAAGGAGCCACCAAGGGTGAAAGGCAATCTTGATCAGCGCCATGGTGCTGGTGGGTGGGTCTTATCCTTCCTTCTTCTCCCTCACCTGCAGCCGTACACTGGTCCACTAGAGAGAAAGTGCTCTCTAGACGTATTTGCCATAGTAGGGGGGGGGGGGAAGAGAAATCACTCCCTGGCAGCCACGGATACTTGTGGTGCTTATCAGTCAGACCCTGTAGCGGAGGGTTAAATATGTGACCTGGGTGGCCCAGTCGAGCCCGATCTTCTGAGATCTCAGCAGCTAAGCAGGGTCAGACCTGGTCAGTCTTTGGAGGGGAGACCACCAAGGAACTGCCCTGTAACAGGTAGCTTAGGGCCAAATTAGAAAAGATGCTATCCCTGGGTTTTCCTCACACTTCTATTTTGTAGGGCCAGGAAAAGCCATTCAAGAACACTGCGGGGTCCCAATTATTTATTTATTTAGTTAGTTAGTTTTTATATTTATACCCCGCCCTCCCCAAAGGGCTCAGAGTGGCTTAAAGAGGCAAGGCAGACCTCGCCATAATAAAACATAATATATAATAGATTAAAACATAATACATTTTAAAATCCTAATTTAAAACAAGGTGCTCAGTGACTTCCATAGTCCAGAGATGATGGATCGCCGGTCCGGAGTTCCAAGTAGACGGTTTAGGGCTTCTTCCATTCAGATGTTTCCTCAGGGCCTCAACCAACCCATGGCGGTGGTGGTATAGTAGGGGCGGCGGCTCCTACTCAAAAGCCTGGCAGAAGAGCTCCGTCTTGCAGGCCCTGCAAAACTGCATAAGATCCCGCAGGGCCCGGATCTCCCCTGGGAGCTCATTCCACCAGGTAGGAGCCGCCACCGAGAAAGCCCTGGTCCTAGTAGCAGCTAGCTTGATGTCCTTGGGGCCCGGGATGGCTAACAAGTTTTGGGCCCCTGACCGTAGTGCTCTTGGGGGAACATACGGGGAAATTCTGATCAGGACCATTATGGCCCGAGGGGAGGAAGAGATCCTGCCTCCCCTCCCCTCACACCGGTTTTCTAACCCGAAATGGCCCTGGGGGTGTACTTGGGTCAGCCATGACAGGTTGGAAAAACAGTGTTGGGGGGGGCGGGAGAACCCTCCCCCCACGTTGTGGTGGCCCCAAGTAGACTGAGGCCCCCATGCGGCTCTTAAACGGCGGAAATGGAACGTCCCGTCTCGTTTGGCCCTTAGGCTCGGCATAACACTTGCACGCCGTGTTTTGAGAGTAGTTCTCTTGTACTGAAAATGCCTGTTGCCTGGCTTCCAAGTCTCACAGATAACTTTTTGGGAGGAAACTTGTATACAGACTGTTAAGTTGTGATTCTGGTTGTTGAGATTTTCTGCTTGGCTCTTTCAAAATATAGTTCTGCTTTCTTAATTTATTTTTTCTCCTGCCTTGCCCCCATCTCCCCTTAAGTTCTGGCAGCTCTACAATGCTATCACACTTTTTGAATTGTCAAGACATAAGGAATGTAAAGAATGGCAGGTAAGTGTTTGCTCTAAGACATCAAGGTTGGGTTTTTTTTTTACAATCACCTTGTTTGACATTAGTCGAATATAGTAACAGATGAGGAAGAGAAGGGGATCACTGCCCAGATCTTGTTATTGGAAAATATCTGATGTTACTATGAGTTGGATGGTCCCCTCTTGCCTTTGGAAGGGGCTGTGGCTCAGTAGAGAGCCGCAGGTTCAGTCCCTGGGACCTCTAGTTAAAGGAATCGGGGGCTAGGTGAGGTGAGACCTTTGCCTGAGACCTTGGAGAGCTGCTGCTTGTTTGGGGAGACAGTATTGACCTAGATGGACCAGTGGTCTGATTCAGTATAAGGTGGCTTCATGTGTTCATGTAATCGTGGGAGATTTAGGTTTCTGTATGCAGTACGGGAAAGTAAGAGCGTTCTGTGCACCTTGGCGTTTAGTCATGCCGGCCACAAGACCACAGAAATGTCCTTGGACAGCACTGGCTCTTTGGCTTGGAAATGGAGTTGAGCACCACATCCCTAGAGTCGGATTCGACTGGCTTTCGAGCAAGGGAAACGTTTACCTATGCAGTGCTTCTCGTCAGTTTGAGGGTTTTTTCCCTGGGGCATGTCTGCATCAAGTACCAGAAAGTCAGCCCTGTAGATGATATAGTCTGCACCAGAGGTCATTTTGGGGGGGATCGCAGTTCCCCCGGGTGAGGTACGGCGGGCGGGGCACATGACGAAGCCCCGCCCCCTGCTTCTGGCCGCCCCGCTTCCGGCCCTCATTCAGCCAGGAGGAGGCAGGAGAAGAGGGAGGGTAAGTTGCTTCCTCCCTGCCTCTTCCCACCCCTGCCTGCCTGGGGCCAGGGAGGGCCTTCGCGGGGCTTCCTTGCACTCCCGCCGGCCTTGCAGGTCCACCGCCAGGCCCCTCATGGGGCTCGGCAGTGGAGCTGCAAGGCCGGCGGCAGTGGCCGGGACCGTTGGGGGCGGGGTGTGTGGCCTTATGACACACTTCCGGTGATGTCAGGGGGTGTGGCCTTATGACACACTTCCGGTAATGGCAGGGGGTGTGGCATATGCTAATGAGTTATGCTAATGAGTTCCCCTAGCTCTTTTTCTACAAAACGACCCCTGGTCTGCACTGATCCTGTTTGCTGTGTGGATTTGGGATGGGGGAGGGGACTATTATTATTTATTATTATTTTCGATTTATATCCCACCTAGCAGAGATGAAGCCCTGCAGTGTCTGGATGTGAATTGAAGAGACTGGATCTGCTGTAGGAGCTCTTGCTGTTGCTTGAGAAATACTAAATGCACTCAAGAGCGCTCTTAATTTTAAAAAAAATGAATGAAGGTTCCATTCAAGAAAAGGCAAATGAGGAAACGTCCTATTTGTCATTTTGCTAATTTTACAATGGGCGAACCTCAGTTCACTTATTGATTAGACATAACATATTCTAAAATTATGCATGGTGTGGAGGGAAAAAAATTATCCTCCTCCCATTATTATCATACAGCTCCATGAGAGAGGTGGGGGCAGGGGGTGGAGTAGATAAGCAATAAATATTTGTTCAGACAAGCCATTATTAATTTATAGAATTCCTTGCCACAAGAAGCAGTGATATCCACTAGTCTGGTTGGCTTTAAAAGCAAGTTAGACAGATTCATGGAGGAGAAATCCATCGGTGGTTATTACTAAGGATGGCTAAAGGGGAACCTCCATGTTCAGAGGCTGTGTACCTCCAGATACCATCTGCTGGGGATGAAGTTGGGCTCTGTGTGGCCTTCTGGGACATCTGGTTGGCTCCTGTAGTGCTGGACTGGGTAGTCTGATGTTAAACTGCCATGGCGAGTCAGTCACGTATCACTTTAGCTATTTGCTAAGTGGTTTCCGATAGCAGTTTATCTTAATGAGTTTTTGTTTCTCCTCCCCTCCTTTTCTGCAGTGTATGGCTGTCTAAACTGTTTGGGGTTGTTTTTTTTCTCTTGCTCCTCCAGGTTTTTGTGCTTGCTCTCACATTTCTGGTGCTCTTCCTTGGAAACTTCCTCACGACTCTGAAAGTAGTGCACACCAAACTCCAGAAGAACAAACTGAAGAAGTTGTGAAAGGAGGACCGTACTTCCGATGGCTAGAACGTGGGGTTTGGTTCCTTTCTGCCTCCCCTTTGATTAGACTTGTGTTTTGGACAGACCCCACTGCTCCGCCACTACCTGGCCCTACAGTATGCAAACCATGGAGGAACTTCCATCCTCGTTATGCTACAAAGTCTTCCCTAACTGACTTAATTTTGCAAGTGCCGCTTTTTCCAGCTGGTAGCCCACTATTTATGTTTAACTTAATCCAGCACCCACTTGGCCTTTCCTGGGAATTCAGCAGAGATTGATCCCTGCTAGGAAAAAGATGGATTATCAAGAGAGGAAGGAGGCTTCGCTACTTTGGAATAAATCGAGCTGTTGATTAAAATGCCATCTTTGAAATACCAGCAGGTATTGGAGTCTTGGTGGCTGTTCCCTGCTATTACATGGTACCATTTGCTGAGCCCTGTGCATTTTGAGACCCGCATTTCTGAAACAAAAAGGGACCTGTGTGGGAACAGCGCTTGTGGACTTGAAGCCGCTAATCGCTCCTCTCCACTTGCAAGTTGATTGGAAACACTTTCGGTGGCTCATGAAAGAGGTGGAGGGAATCCTTTGCCTCATTATTGTCACCTACTCCAGCTAGAGTCGCTTACAAAAAAAAAAAAGCGCTAAGTAGAAAGCCTCTTGAAATCCAATGAATGATATGATGTAACGTGCTTTGTTGGCACAGAGGTTAGATGGATGTTTCGTTTAAAGAGCTCAGACCTTGTTGAGACTTGGAAGGGGTTGGGGGAAGAAAAGATAGCAAATAAAAAAGAACTGCCTCACCCAGGTCATTTTTAGTAGGTTTTATTTCATATTGTCGTCAAACTGTAAGTCTCCTTTTTAAA